CAGGCTAAGGGACCAGGCTTGCGAGTTTCTTGGAAACAGTTCACAGAACAGTCCAGGAAATATAAGGCACAGGGGGCATGTGGGGAAGGGGAGGAAGTGCTGGGAGTCAAGGCAGGGGCACTAAAAGGGGAAATGGAAAATCAATGAAGCCAAACACTGCGTAACACATGCATCTCAGCTCTGTTTGGAGGAGATGTGCACAGTACATTGCACAGAATTTTCTGCAGTCCAGGCAATCGATACATGTTTGCTGAACAAATGAACAGAAGAGAACCAGATCTTGAACAATGATATAAAAAGTGTTGTGCCTACAATTATCAAGTCTTTTGCTCTTGCTGCTCCTTTATACTTTTAGCTAACAAATATTCAGGGCTTACTGTATATCTCACGCATTCCTCAAAGCACTTTGCATGAAGGAAATGATTTAGTCCTAAGAGCTCCCCGAGATGGAAGCAGTATTATTTCATAGCTGAGGAAAGTGAAACAAAGGAGGATCATGTGACTTGCCTAAAACCACAGAACGGACTGTAAGAGTGTAACCTAGGATTTGCACCTAATGGTTTTGCAGAACTGGGCTACCAACAACTGACATAAATGCTACTTAGTATTCATAGTAAACACAGTAAGTACCAGCTGAATGATGGTCCTTAATAAATAATACTCTCTTTGAAAAATGAGTGACCATTTAAATTTAGAATTGACACTTTGATAATTACAATGATGGACTATTTCATTCCTGTCTATATAAATTCCAGTCCTACATCCCTCTTCTATAGGATGGTAGTTGCACTTTATAAGACTTTTATTAAAAAAAAAAACAACATTTTAAATCAACATGAATTTAAAAAGAGGAGATAACGAGTTCCTAATCTGTCACTTATTTTTCCATGAATACGCTACTTGCTTCCTTGTTAACTTGCCCAAAAAGGAGATATGCTTCTTAATGTGTTCCTGGACAGACTGAAGACTATGCCTATGCCTTATTTTTCTTTTTAGAAAAATACAATAGATTTGGCAGTAAATTGTAGTACGGTGATGTATTCAGAATGCAAAGAAATAAAAAAATACATACAGCTTTATGTAGGTCATGTACTAAATATTATCTAATAAATTGAGTTGTAAGTTTTTGAATGGAAAATAAAAAGTAACTATGGAGCTCAAATAGCTTCCTTATTTGCAGGTAAAGTAGATAACCACCAAATAGAAATAGAAATACATGGAAATCATACATATCCTCCACCTTCTTCCACATTCACTTTTCACCAATTTTAAACTTTGTTCCCAATTATTCCAAACTTTTAAAAATATGCATAGATTCCAGGGTTGTCAGATAGTTCTAGGAAAATCTCAGAGTTCATTATGATCCTGCCATTCTGCAAATGTGAAAAGTGAAGCTCTATAATGACACGGAGGAAGTTAAAGGATTTGTGTTAAATCCCTGAAAAAGGTTATTAGTGTATAGTAACCTACATAAATCTATATAAATCTATAAAAACATATGGTACCTTGTTTTTTGAGACTTTCTGGCTCTGTCCCCATCCCCTACTTTGATGTGGGTCTTCCCTTTCCTTCATCTGTCCCTCGTCTACTCCATTTTGATTCCACTCCCAGTGCTGTGTCTGTTAATGTTTTGCTTCGCTCGGTTTATGAATGGGAACCACTGAAATGGAAGGGGATCATGGTGGATCAAGCTTGCGAGTTCATGGTGTCAACAGCTCCAACCCCACAGAACTTCCCACAGAGCTCTGGACCCATTCATTCCATAGGTTTTAGCTCCCTCCAGTTTTAGCTGCCCTTCTTAAACCACATGACTGAGTTTCCCAGTGAGTGTCTGTTGGCTCTTTCATGATTCTCCTGCCTTCTCCTTTACAGACATATATAACACACAGGTCTTGTGGCTATTGGTGGTTTATCTCTATTTGCTTATATACTGGATTTTGTAGGGATGCCTTTGCACTTAATTTTGTTGTCTATGTTTTCTGTGATTTACTAACTTTGCTAACTAGGTGCTCTGTTTTGATGTGAGAACTTGGGAAAACCCAAAACCACTCTGCATCACCACTACCATGTTTCCATAATCCTCCCTGCTTTTATACATATTTTAAACAACTTCATTGTGTTATAATTTGGAATTTAAATACCATTAAGGTCACCTGTATTTTGTTTACAATTTAATGTATTTTGTATATTTATGCAGTTGTGCAACAAGTGCCATAAAAAATGTAGAATATTTCATCATCCTACACAGAAATGCCATGTTCCTTAATAGTTACTCCTCAGCTCTTTTTTCCTTCAGCCCTATGGAACCACTAATCTACTTTTTGTCTTTACACATCTGCCTGTTATGCATATTTCATATAAATGGTATCACATAAAATATGGTCTTTTGCTATCAGTAGTATGGGACAGAAAAATAAACATGATGTAATGTTTTAAGTTCTTCACCTCAAATGGCTAACAGCCACAATTCCATGACAGACTTTATGACAATGTGTTTGCATATGATTTGAAGTTGGCTACCGGTGCAGGGCAATAAAACACCAACTGAGAACATGGTCATGGTCAATAGGAACGGTGACGACTATAACAATAAAATGTGATGTACAAATTTTACTATGTGTCAAGACTCTTCTAAGCACTTCACATATATTAACAAATTTAATATTCACAGGAAGTTATGATGGAAGTACTATTGTTCTCGTCCCCATTTTATTCATCAGGAAACTGAGGCAAACTAAAATAAAGTCACCCAAACTCTAAGTGGAAAAGCTGATTCCATACCCAGATAGTTAGACTCAAGTCTCCTTGTTCTTTTTTTTTTATTATTATTATTTTATTTTTATTTTTGAGAAAGAGAGAGTGGGTGAATGAGAGGGAACAAAGAGAATCTCAAGCAGATGCCCTCTGAGCACAGAGCCCAATCTCACAACCCTGAGATCATGACCTGAGCTGAAATCAAGAGTCAGATGCTTAATTGACTGAGCCACCCAGGTGTCACAAGACTCCTTGTTCTTAACAACTGTTCTATAGTGTCTTTCTGATTTGGGGGTGTTTAGTTAAATGCCTTTCTCTTCTAAATCGGTGACAATGCCAAGCGTTTAGGATAACAAATTCTGAGAAATACTAACATTTTACTGGCGTGTAGGTTAAAACTAAGAAGACACCCAGGTGGTGGCTGGGTGGCTCAGTCCTTAAGCATCTGCCTTTGACTCGGGTCATGAACCCAGCATCAATGGATCAAGCCCCACATGAGGCTCCCTGCAGGGAGTCTGCTTCTCCCTCTCCCTCAGCCTCCCCCCCTGCTTGTGTTCCCTCTCTCACTGTCTCTGTCAAATAAACAAAAACAACTTAATAAAGAAAAACCCAAGGAGACAAAATAATCATTGTCTTTTAGTTTCATAGATATTCTTGCACACTTTGTCGTAATGCTTTTTTTCTTCTATCTTAACTAAAACATAATTTGAAAACCTTCATTATCTGTAGCAGATTGGGCTTTAACTGCTTTTTAATAAAGCAATGGCTACTTTGTCCTAAAACATATTTGATACACAACTGACCACGTTCAAGTACAACTGGTCATGATTTGCCTCTTTATTTCCAAGACACAGAAAGAACTATAGGCCTAAAAAGTACTTTATCACTAAACATAAGATATTAAAGTATTTCTCAGTAGGCTGAGCAATGATTATAATCATGTAAATTCTCACAGGACTTCATAAGAATGGGGGGAAAAAAACAGTGTAAACTCCTCCACAAAACTGGAAAAGTTGGAATAATAATGCTCGGATATCTTCCCTGAATTAGCCCATCTAATAATCATTCTGCCTCCCTGAAGAGGAAAGGAATCTCTTCTATTCAATAAAAACTTCTTTCTTTCAAAAATCTTAGAAAAAAAAGTTCTGGACATTTTTTTTTTTAAGTTGCCAGAATCCTTTATAGATTGAAGAACTAACTATAATGGAAAATCAGCATACTACTAGGAAGGTGACTAGAGAAGAACTGAAGCAGCTCTTTCTTCTAGAACAAACGCCTATCTTCTAAGATACATCTTCATGATTATATGTCCAGAGCCTCATTTTCTGTTGTCCAGCACCCTCTCCCAAACATCTCCATGCCCAAATCCTGTCCCATTCTCGACATGAAGACCCGGAGCTCTGCGCTCCCTACATCATCTGGGATCTTTGAAGCTGCCTTGCTCATAAAATGAGCAGATGCGGCAATATCACCAAATACCGAATAACATTTATGAACTGACTCAGTGAAAAGATACTGTAATGTGAGAGCAATAATAAAATTAAACAGCACTCAAGTTTAGCTCTCAGTCTCAGGAGCTCGCCTCCAAGAGAATCAGTGCAGAATTCGTTGGCAGTGTCATTTGCATGGCGCTGTTTTGGAAATCAGATGGAATAGTGCCTCGGAAAGAACTTTGCCAGTGTATTTGTAATTATTTTTGACATTTTCTGGGTAGTTTTGTAAAGAAAATCTAAGTACAGTTATCCTTCACACATTTGGAAGTGAGATAAATGAGAGCAAAATTTTTCAAGTTGCTGATCACTTGCTGAAGTAGCATTTTAAATACCCCAAGTCTTGCTCTCAATTCAAGTCCGGGTTGAATTTATTTCTCCTATTTCCACTAAGTGATGGCTTTCTACCAATTTTTTTTTTTTTTACTGGTTCATTTTAAATTAATTTAGATAAATGTATGTAAATGTTAGGAATACACTTACATTGTGTTGAAAAATAAATGCAAAGGGAAATACTTGGGCATGTCAGGGGATGGTCTGAAGGAAGAAAGGAATTAAATGCTTATGTACTTGTGGGAGGGAGAAGCTATCTTCCCTTAACACGGATGTTCAACAATTGTGAAATGATCCCTTTCAACATCTTTGTATGCATGTACCAAATAGATGTCAGCAGAACATTTTGTAAATGAGAAGTAAAGATAAAAATGCCTAGATTACGACTGTTGTTCCAAAAAGAAGTGATTTCCAGAAACTTACCAGTCATGCAGTCTTTAAATTCAATGTCATCAACTGCCGCTCCTCCTCCCAGATCCCTGGTTCTGATGCCTTGGAATATAACTTCGAAATTCCTTAGCTTTCCTAGCAGGATGGCAGCCTTTTGCCAATGCTCACCAGAGTTCTGCTCAGGTTCTTGCCATACTTTTGACAGTCCTTTCTCTGTCTGCAGTAGAGAAATAAACACAAAAGAAGAAACAAAGCCAATCCCTTAGAACAGAAGCATTTGATTAGGGAAAACTGATTAAAAAACAAACCCTGGAACTCTGATACTATCCGTGATGTACCTGACCTCAGCGAAACCGAGGCATGTTAGTCTACTACAGTGTTTCCTAGCAGCACCGATAAATCTGTTTGGGTGTTTTCAGAGACACCACTATTTAGGCGTAGCTCACTCAGTGCTTTCTACCTCTCCTCTGCATGCACACGAAATCCCCGATATCTCATGGGATCTGAACATTTTATAGAAACCCTGGATTATAGCTTGGGATGCTCCCCCAAACTTCTATTCATATTCTGAGTGGAAATAATTTACATAGGGGAAGAGAAGAAATGAGATGGAAGGAGGAATACATGGGAGAAATCACTATCCCTGACGGATATAACAAAGGGATTGTGAAGTGAGCTACGGTGGCAAAGTGATGATTTCTAAGATCAGCAGGATTTCAAAAACCCTACTAATATATTATTTTGGCTATCTAAAAAATTCTATTATAATATGACTGACCACTCTTCAGTTATAAAGGAAAAATTAATTTTCTAAAACACTTATGTAAGTATCTCCTCCATATGTTTAAAGTTGGTTTTCATTGCTCTTTGGTCTTCTAGACCTAGTTCCTCCCGAGAATTAGATGTTTTAATAAATCATGATGATGGACATATTGCAAAGAAAGAGAAATAAATAAACTATATATTTGCTATATATAGCATTATAAATATATATACTTATTATGTATGTTATTATAAATATATGCACATCTATGTTTATGTTTATGGTTAGCCCCAAATAACTAATATCTCAGGATCCACTATTTTGTTTTCATAACAAATTAACAACAGTAACAACAAAACCTTGTGTCTGAAGCTTGTAATCAAACAGTGGAATTGAGGGGAATACTGAGGGGAATGGCAGCCAGAAAATCAAGCAAGCTGTTCCAACAGATTTATAGCATGCAACTGTGAAATACATAATTTTACAGGTATTTTTTTTTAATATAAGCTGAAGAAAAAGAGAAATACTGGAAAAGGGATCCAAAGGAATTACATTTCTACAGGTTCGAGCTTTTAGGGTACTAATGTTGATAAATATGGCTGACACCTTGTTGTGCTGAGGGAGACACAATCAAACAGTTCTTCCTTGGCTGAATTACAGAGAAAGTGGAGCCTCATATTAGTTAATACAAACTTAACTTTGCAAAACAACTAATGGTGTCTAGATAGATTTCTCAACAGCCTTCCCCCTCCAAAAAAAATAAGAAAAAGAAAAGTCTTTACACCCAGAGACTCATGTAACTTTTGTCTTGAAGGAGATGGGAAATTCACACCTAATTAATAGAATTTTATATCCTTCTGATGACTAAAGAAGCGAAGCCTTTTTCAAGGTTAATCGTTGACTGTCAGTGATGTTGTAGTGATGTGGAATCAAAGGAATGATTACTTAAATTAAAGATTAAAGTAGAGGGGGCCTGTCTGACACATAACAACATAACAGGCATGGATATTGGTAAAGTCTGTCTTAATTTACAAACTTAACTCACTTTGTTAATATTTTCTATTAATCTACTTCTGAAATTTCTAGAACCACTCATTAACTGTGACAAGCCCCCAATGGGTTTTCAACAAATACCATCACAGAAGGTTGTGTGATTACTTTAATCAATAACATAAAAACCATTTCTTCAATCTTACAACTGACCTTCTGGTGAAAAAGAGATTTGAATAACATATCCATTATCATTTTATGTAGTAAGAAAAGAAAACAAGGGTGAATTCTTTTGAAAACCAACCATGGGTCAACCTAATGGCGGGTGACATTAGAATATCTAATATATCTACTATCATTCCTCTTAAAATATATCAAATCTTATCCCCATAATTTCCAAAATTATGCAACCAAATGTAAAATGGGAGATTTATTTGCTTATTGGTTTATCTGTCCATTCATTCATATATTCTGCAAACATTTGATGTTTACATGTACTATGTTAGATACCAGGAATAAAAAGGTGAAGAAAAAAAAAAAAGAGAGAGAGAGAGAGAGAGAGAGCGTCTCACTGTGGAGGTAATAATCTGAGAGAGTCATAAAAATAAATTACTAGAAAAGTCACATAAATATAGATTATATTTATTATTCTTATATATGTCAATATACATAACAATTTTTCAAAAAGTAGTTATATGTCAATCTAATTTTTGTTCCACATACACTGTTGATTTACTTAATATTCTGATTTTCTATTCTTTCTAAATTGACAAAAGGAAAAACCTCTTAATTTCAACTCATGACTCTGCCACTGGCCGAGGACCTATCTCTCACATTCATCCATATGGATGTTGAACTATCCCAAGAACCCAAAGTAATAAACATATGAAAGTGACTGGCCACACTAATAATAGTAAAAATATACATTAGTTCAATAATAATTAAATTATAGAAATTGAAGGAATACTCTCTCCTTATAATTTAACCATTTACCTAACTTTTAATTGATTTCCATGTATTATGCATTTTTGACTCTTTATTTTATATATTGTGTATTTGTTCTGGCAATGTACTTGCCCTCATACTTTCTTTTTTTTTTTTTTTAGTATTTTATTTATTTGACAGAGAAAGAGACAGCCAGAGAAGGAACACAAGCAGTGGGAGTGGGAGAGGGAGAAGCAGGCTTCCCTCTGAGCAGGGAGCTTGATGTAGGGCTCGATCCCAGGTGCTGGGATCATGATCTGATCCAAAGGCAGATGCTTAAGGATTGAGCCACCCAGTCAACCCTGCCCTCATACTTATGTCAGTGTTTCCCTTTTGTGTCATGAAAAAAAAAGATGTAAGAAATACTAAAACTCTGCTTCCATCCCCAAAGCAAAGGCTGCGCAGAGCCTAGGACCCCTTCTTCCGAGACTTTTTCAAATGAGGGAAAACAAAGAGAGTTTGTCACCAGCAGACATAACTTAAACGAATGGCTAATAGAGTTTCTTCAAGATTAAAGGAGAGGATAAAAGAATAAACCTTAGAATAATTATCAAGAAGGGATTTAAAAAACAACTAAAATATGAGTAAATACAATAAACTTTTCTTGTGTTCTTGAATTTATTTTTGATGGTTGAAGAAAAATTAAAATACCATCTCATATGGTTTTCAATGTATATAAAGCAAATAATTAAGGCATAAATACTGTAAGTGCAGAGAGTAAAGACATAAAGGGAAGTAAAGTTGCTATACTGGAGCTGATTAAGTCTTAATGTTGCATTTTAGCAGGTCACATTTTCATCCTCAATTTTTTTTTTTTTGTTCTTTAGGTTTTCTCATACATTCAGTCTCCCAAATGAATTTTAGAATAATTTAATGAATAGCTGAAACTTTAAATGTTGAATTATTTTTACCCTGATATATCTTTTATTTTTTTACTTATTCAGGACTCTTTATGTCACTTACTAAAACCTGTCTTTTTAATAAATAAGTTACATACTTATTATAACATTTATTTCCAAATATATGGCAATGTGTGTTACAGTGGTGAGTGGGAGACAGGCAAAAGGCTGGCCTTCTGCCTTTCCCTGAATCACCAGAGACAGCAACTCACATTACTCTACTACAAGTTCATAGGCCAAAGTTACTAGGCTCCCAGGGGCCAAATAACTATTAAAAGATGACAATAAGTGTGGAGTCAAGATGGCAGAGGGTTAACAGACTGAGATGACATCAGGTCACAGAAGTTCAGTTAGATAGTTATCAAACCATTCTGAACACCTACAAATCCAACAGGAGATGGAAGAGAAGAAGAGCAGCAATTCTAGAAACAGAAAATCAACCACTTTCTGAGAGGTAGGATGTATGGAGAAGTGAATCCGAAGTGATGGGAAGATAGTCCATGGGGGGAAGGGCCGGTTCCCGGCAAGCGGTGGAGCAACAGCACAAAATCATAACTTTTAAAAGTCTGCTCCACTGAGAGACATCGCTCTGAAGGCTAAGCAGGGGTGGAGCCCTCGCTGGGAGAGCGTGGTCTCAGGTCCCGTGGGGTCACAGAAGGATCAGGGTTGTCTGAGTGTAGCAGAGCTCATAGGTATTAGAGTGGGGAAGCCAACTACAGAGATGGGGCTGAGGAGTGAGCTCTCACCTCAGGATTACATTAAACTGTGATCCGTGGCACAATCAGGCCACTGCTCTTTGAGCAGGGATCCCAAAAGTGGGAGATCCGAGAAGAGCCACTGGAAGAACAGAGTGGCAGGAATCTGCTGGGGTTAGAGACTCCAAATGGGGCCATGCACCAGAGATAGAAACGCTTGGTCACAGGCCGGGTGAGCTTGGAGCACAGTCAGAGACCAGGGAGACGGGAGTGATTGAGCACTTTTCTCCGAGGGCACACTGAGGAGTGGGGCCCCAAGCTTTCCGCTCCTCTGGGCCAGAGATTGGGAGGCCCACCATTTGCATTTCCATCTTCCAGAGCTCTACGGAAAGCTTTCAGGGAACAAAAGCTCCCAAGAGCAAACTCGAGCAGATTACTTAGCCCGGCCCCTGGCAAGGGCAGCATAATTCTACTTCAGGCAAAGACATTTGAGAATCACTACACAGGCCCCTCCCCAGAAGATCAGCAAGACCATCCAGCCAGGACCAAGCTCACTGATCACAAACAGCGGAATTCCAGAGGAGAGGAAAACAAAGCATAGAACTCATGGCTTTTTCCCCATGATTCATTAATCTTGCAAAGTTAATTAAATATTTTTTAATTTTACTTTTTTCCTTATTTTAATTTTTTTAACTTTCCCTCTTTCCTCTTTTAACATTTTTTAACTAGTTTATCTTAACAATACCTTTCTAAAAAAAAAAATCTTTTTAAACCTTCATTATTATAGTCATATTTTATCCTTCATTGTATCTAACTTTATTTTTTGTATACATATCAGTTTTCTTCTAAAAAATTTTGGGACACAACTTTTTATAATAGATCAAAA